ACCATGGGCGACATGGGGGAGAAGCTTGAGGAAGTAGAGACTCACATTGCATCGCTAGACTCCATGGGGGAGGAAATCCAAAGTGAGCTAGAAGCTACTCTCAACAAAAGCCTGGATACGGTCACCCGAAAGAATGAATCCTTGGAGGCGGAAGTGCTGACTTTGCGAGATGGCATGGAGGCCATGCGCCAGCGGATGGAAGAGCTTACCAGTGAGCTCGTTACTTGCAAGACTACCATTGGGAATGGCATGTTTGCTGGAGTGTCCAAATCCAGATTGGATGTCCCTAAGCCTAAGGAGTTCAAGGGGACTAGGGCGGCCAAGAAAGTAGACAACTACCTTTAGGGTATGGAGCAGTACTTCCAGGCCACGGGCATGCAAGACGAGGCGATAAAGGTAAGCACCGCTGCTATGTATCTCACTAATGTAGCCTTATTATGGTAGAGGCATAGGTGTGATGATGTCAGGCGTGGGAGCGCCAAGATTGGAACTTGAGCAGAGTTCCAAAAGGAGTTCAGAAAACAATTTTACCCGGAGTATGCCGATGATGAGGGGCGGGCAAAGTTGCGCAGGCTAAGCCAGCAAGGAGACATAAGGGAGTATGTCCAAAAATTCTTCAAATTGATGCTACAGATCTCGGATCTAGGCGAGAAGGACGCCTTATTTGCTTTCATGGATGGGCTGAAGCCGTGGGTGAAGCATGAGCTACAAAGGACAGGAGTTCATGACTTCGCTAAAGCCATGACTACTACCGAGGCCTTGATAGAGTTTCAGCCTCTGAACAAGTTCGAGTCTTCCAAGCCCAAGGGTAAGGGTAGGGACGATAGGGACCGGAAGAAACAGTCCAAGGGGAAAGACCGTGACCGGGAGTCCAATGATGGAGACCGAGACCGTTCAACCAAGGATGGCGAGAGGAAGCCACCAGCAGGCAAGTGGAAAGCAAAAGGGGACCGAGAGCCACTAGCATGCTACCTATGTGAAGGGAGCCACATAGCGCGCAATTGCCCACAGAAGGGCAAGCTCGCTGTTGTAGACAAGGAGTCTGACGAGGAGCTAGAGTCAGAGGTAGCAAAGCTTAGGTCGTTGGTGCTCAATGCTGTCCAGAGTAAAGGGAGCCGCAAGCCAAAAGGCTTGATGTTTGCGGATCTGATGGTTACGGGTCAGAAGGTGAGCGCACTGGTGGACACAAGTGCTTCATATCTTTTTATTTCAGGTGATGGAGTCAGGAAGCTCAGACTGAAAGTGCAGAAAAGGACTGGTACCATTAAGACGATGAACTCCAAGGAAGTTTCAGCCATTGGAGTAACATGGGGAATGGAGTTGCAGCTTGGAGACTGGAAAGGCAAGGAGACCATTGAGGTAATACCCCTTGACAACTATGAGTTTGTGATTGGGTTGGATATCCTTGTTCGGATTAACGCCCTCCTTATGCCTTTTGCCGATTGTGTTTGCATCTTGGATGCACGGTGCCAATGCCTAGTGCCATTGAGGAAAAGGTCTGGAGTTGGGTCGCGGGTGGTGTCAACCATCCAATTTGCCAAAGCGGTAAGCAGACAAGAAGACACCTTTTTGGCAACCCTAAAATATGATGAGCCAAGGGAGAAGAAGACCGCGTCACCCTTGGAGGTGCTAAAGGTGCTGAAGACCTTTAGTGATGTGATGCCCACAAAGCTGCCTAGCAAGCTACCACCTAAAAGGGAGGTGGACCACAAGATTGAGCTGGTGTCTGAGGCCAAGCCACCAGCTAAAGCCCCTTACCGAATGTCTCCACCAAAGTTAGAGGAGTTGAGGAAGCAGCTCAAAGAGTTAGTTGATGCTGGCTTCATCAGGCCATCGAAGGCACCATATGGTGCACCGGTTCTATTCCAGCACAAACATCTTGCGGAATTTGATTTTCAGATGGAGTACAAGCAAAACAGACGAACCTAGTGGCAGACGCCCTGAGCAGAAAGGCTAACCTTGCTGCCATTAGCCAACCAGAAGGGTCACTGGTGCCACGCATCAAGGAGGGACTTGCACATGATCCTACAGCCAAGGCTTTGATGGAGTACGCCCAGCAAGGTAAGACTAAGCGATTTTGGTTGCAGGATGGCTTGCTGTACACCAGGGGCAATAGACTATTTGTGCCGCAACACGGGAAGCTCCGCAAGGAAGTTTTGCAAGAATGTCATGATTCAAGGTGGGCTGGACACCCAGGAGTGAGCCGCACCTTGGCGCTGATCGAGGACCGGTACTATTGGCCGTACATGAGGGACGATGTGGAGGCCTATGTGAAGACTTGTCGTGTGTGCCAACAGGACAAGGTAGAGCTCAAGAAACCAAGGGGTCTCTTGGAGCCATTGCCAGTGCCAGAGCGACCATGGGAGAGTGTTTCTCTGGACTTTATAATCGGTCTACCCAAAGTAGAAGGGTTTGGAAGCATCATGGTAGTGGTGGACAGGTTTTCCAAGAATGTAATCTTTATTCCAGCAACCAAGGAGTGTCCAGCCGAGGAGGCAGCTCGATTGTTCTTGAAGAACATGGTTAAGTACTGGGGAGTGCCGAGGACCATTGTTAGTGATCGGGACGGGCGTTTCACGGGCAGGTTCTGGACTGAGTTGTTCAAGCTGTTAGGATCAAACTTGAACTTTTCCACCAGCATGCATCCGCAGACCGATGGGCAGACAGACCGAGTGAATGGACTATTGGAGGTCTACCTCAGGCACTATGTGAGTGCCACATAAAGGGACTGGCCAAAGCTGCTAGATATTGCGTAGTTTTCCTACAACTTGCAAAGGAGCGAGGCAACGAACCAAAGCCCATTTGAGGTTGTGACAGGGCAACAACCACTAACACTCGGTTCGATTGCTGCAGGTTATACAGGGCCAAATCCAACAGCATACAAGTTTGCCAAGGCATGGCAAGAGCAAACTGACTTGGCCAGAGTTTGTCTACACAAGGTGGCCAAGAGGTCGAAGAAGTGGACAGACCAGAATAGGCGGGATGTGTAGTTCCAGGTTGGAGACTTGGTGTTGGTGAAGCTGCATCCCATTGTGCGCCACAGGGGGCTGCACAAAAGCCTAGTCCGGAGGTATGAGGGACCTTTCCGAGTAATCAAGAGGGTAGGCAAGGTTGCCTACAAGCTGGATATACCACCCAAGCCGAAGGTATACCCGGTGTTCCATGTGAGCATGCTCAAGCCATTCCATGAGGATGAGAGATATCCAGGACGGGCAGAGTCAAAACGTGCACCATTGGGAGCAATGGCCTCATATGAGAAGGAGGTCCACAGCATCATGGCTGATTGAGAGGTGAGACAGAAGAACTATCAACCAAGACATAAGTACTTGGTGCGCTGGAAGGGACTTCCAGACAGTGAGGCGAGCTGGGAACCAGCAGATGACTTATGGCAGTTCGGGGACCAGATCAGGCAGTAACATGCAGAAGACGCAACGAAGGCTTTGCGCAATCAGGTGGGGAAGAATGTCACGCCCTGGGCGGGCGCGCCAGGCACATCAGGCAGACCAGCAAGCGAGCCAGAGGTTGAGACCCGCAAACCAGGCGTGCCGGTGGGTATCTGTGCTCAAAGCCTAATAAACGAGCTCAGAACGCCCGCCCAACTTGCAAGCCAGCCCGTGAGACCAAGGCCTGGCATACAAGCTGCCCGCACCACGTCCAGAAGGGCCCAAGGTGCTGGACACGCAAGGGAAGCTTCTGGAAGCAGGCAGAAACATCCTGACAGATTTGGTTGATCCTGAAAATCAAGAGTTAGCATCCTGATTGAATGTAATCTGTATAATCCCATGATTTTAGCCTTTATTCTAGGGATATGCCATTAAGTTGTAGCTGGAGCCTCAACTATAAATAGAAGACTACTCCACCCTCATTTGTACACCATCAAACACTTCTATTTCAGTGAATACAAGAGCATTTCCAAAATTCTATCTTCTTATCCTGTTTCTCTTGCGTAATCAGCCCTTCCCATTGTTCTAGTGCCCGCACGCTTGTGTTTTAGGCTGACTTAGGCATAAAGGAGGAGATTCCAAGCCTAAGGCCGCATGGATTCTGAGTCTAAAGTCGGAGCCCGTGACACCACTTGTCACGAGTCGAGACTCAAGCTCTAAACCCGCGCAACTCCGAGACCCGGGTATTCACCCTTCCGACATCCCAGATCAGCCTTCCTGTCACGATTCACACCCTTGTGAGGTATTGTTCGCTCTGGCCTCGCCTAGCCTCATGGTTTTATCCTACAAAAGGCACCTCACAAGACAGAGGTGATATAAACCCTTATATACCCCAATGACCCTCCTATTATATTAAATGTGAGATTCAAGACTCTTCTTTAGGTCCGTAACACATGCATATGGAGGAAAAAGGTATAAATAATTGGCCAAACTTTTTATGCTAAGCACTCTGAAATTTTACATTGGATAATTCTAGTATGGTCAGGGGGGGATGTCCTTTCATTTCTTATATTTTTGTTTGCATGGCATTTTTCAGAATATTGCAGAAGATAAGAATGGTCACAGCTCGGTGATCCTTTACCTCCTTGTTCCAAATCAATTTCCTATCCTATGAAGTATGTTTATGCACATTTATTAGTCAAGGATGCTTTTTAAAACTTTATTTTCTTTTAATTTTATGTTTATTATCAAGAACAAAACTAAGGATTGAATTTCAATTTGATTCTTGTTCATAAAATTGTAGGTTTTGAATTGTATTTTTTATAATTAGCTTTCAATCATTAATATTATAAGAAAAATGATATCACTATTTGAGGATGATTGAAGTCATTGAAGATTGCCATTTTAGGGACATCACTCATCTTCAAAGATCAGTATTTGGAGATGATAGTCATCCCCAAAAATAACAATCAGTCCTTGCCACTTTTAGGGATCACAATTATACTTAAAAGCTTTGAGGCCTAGAACCACTTGGGGAAAAATTGAAAATGAGGTCTAACAGAAGTTGCTTCAAGGGCAAAAGATAATTGAACAAAATACGGTTACGAAATAATTTACCTCTAGTTTATCCTCTTTAGCCCTATGCTTATGCGGAAGAACCCGAAACTCCTCAATCAAACGGATGCATTCATAAATATTTTCAGGAGACACAAAGTCAAGAGCAACCTTTATGCATGACTGCAAGTGGCATAAAATAAATAATCAAGAAAATAGTAACAAAATGATGCAGAAGGATGTAGTCAGACTGAAACTCTTACCAAGTGTATAATACATCAGCATACAAAATTTTGTGTGAGAGAGACAGTTTAACTATAACATAAATGATAACTTAAAATTGCATTCGTCTCTATCAACAAATAATCACTACTCTATTTTGCAATTTTTAGCAGGTGCATAATAGTCCAGAGAGCAGTATGAATCATGCAATGAATCTAATGACTCCAAGAATTATCACACAAACCAGCAGCATGCTTCCCAGAAGACAAGATTAGAAACAAAAGTAAAAAGCATGAATTTGAAAATTCATAAGTAAACAAAAAGAAATAGAATATCATTATGCTTAACAGAACAGGAGCAACAATTGTCCATGCCACAAGCTCAAAATACTGTGTCAATAACCTTAAGAACACTTTTTAGACACATTCACTGGTTGATTTTATATTTAAATCTTAAGATCAAAGCTATGTTATTGTCATCTCTGTATTAAAAAGAAAACGTAAGAATTTACATGCCTTGAGATTTCTCACTTGATGAGGACAACCAGCTGGTATAAAGACCGCTTCTCCAAGTTTCTGCACAATGGTCCAAGGCTCAACTCCTGCAAAGAAGCATTTAATTTTTTTATGAAAGAAAAAGGAAATGATCGACACAACTGAGCAACATCAAACAAAGTGCTGACCAAACTCCTCCTTCAGCTTTCTCTTATGATGCATCGTCAGGTAGAAAGTTTGATCATGAATCGGGTGCACAACCTGTCACATAAATTCATTTCCATTCATACCCATCATAGATCACAAACCATTATTCTTAAAGATAAGAGCACATAATACGACTATAAGGTTAAACATGGAATGACCTTTTGCTTACCATTCATCAAATACAACAATAACAACAATAACAACAACAACAACAACAACAACAACAACAACAACCCAAGCTTTATATCCCATAACTCTAGGGTTACCCTTACCATTCATCCAAAAAAAAAAAACCTATTTATTATTTAATTTTAGGATTTAATTAAGCTATAATCAAGCATTCCAGAAAGTCAATTATGCAACACATTCAATAGAAATGACTGGTTCCCAGCAATCCAAATTTTTACTAGACCTTCACCTGAAATTTTCATGTATGAAAAAGGTATAGCCAAAAAGGCGTTTAATAAAACTGAGATTAAATCACCACTGGGACACCAAAAACATGTCAATGTGCACAAGCACATACACTATTTGTGACAGGCTAGCTACCTGATCAACTGGAGAGCCATAAACATGCCTGAATTCCCTATAGTGCTTCCTAAGGAATTCCTCAAGTTTGGGTACATCTTGCCTATGAAAAATGTCCCAAACAGCCCCGCCTCCAGATGCTTCCATTGCATCATAAACACATCCAGAATCACCACCTACAGCATCTTTACGAAAAGCTTCATTTGTTGAACAAGCATCTATAGCATTTTCTGTTGAACCAGAACAGAAACAAAATGAGCAAATGTTAGTTTTCATACCATGAAGGCATTATTGGGAAAAAAAATAAAATTAAAAAAAAAAAAGAGAATGACAAGAATGCATCATTCAGAAAGAAGAATCACCAGAATGAGCCTCATCCATTTTCCCATTTCTTTCATCGACTTTAGATTCCTCTTCATTTTGTAGCAACAATGAAGTTCGACAAGATTTCACTTTCTTCTTTCTAGTTTTTCTTTTCCTCTTTGGAGACTTCACAGCTTCAACCGTTACATCAACTTGCTCTTTCACCCTCAAACAAGAATCTTTGTCAGTGCCATTAAGAGAATGCATATTTGAAAATGAAGTCTCACTAGTACGAGCCTCATCAATTCTCCTGTTGCTTTTTTTATCCAATTTAAATTCTTCTTCATCTTGAAACTCGGAAGATTTCATCAGTAGTTTATACACTGAATCTGAACTTGAACATGATTCGACTTTCTGCTTGCTAGTTTGATGTTTCCTCTTCGGAGGCTTCACAGCTTTCATAAAAAAATCTACATCTACCTGCTCTTTCAAAGGCAAATAAGAATCCTTGTCAATGCCATATAGCTCTATTTGATCTTGTTTTATATGCCTCCTTTTCAAAATTCCAATATCAGCAAGCTGTTCAGAGGTAAGAGTCACATCTACTGTGTGCATCAAAACATTCACCTGAGTTATACAAAAGTAATTACATAGTTACATATTCATATAAGCAGCATGATTCAAATTTAAAAAGACATGAAAGCAGCAAGTATAATAACTAATTCAATCCCCGTAACAGCATTGATTAACAAAATGTAAACTCCATTCAGAATAATCCAACCAATCTTCAATGCTCATGTTCAAGTAATCATCACTTTTTTTGGTAAATATGAAAGACAAATGGGCTTGGCCTACAGAATAGGAGGGAACCCTCTCTCTTGCCATAAACTCCAATCATCCCTCCCTAAGATTCATACCTAAGCCTTCCAATTTATGAGTTTCAAGTTCTAACTGTTGGGTTGTCCCCTAAGGGTTTCATTGTTCTTAGTTCATAATAAATTTAAACATTTGTGAGAGTTTAAATAAATGAAGTTGCAAGCTAAAGGCTAATTTTCTTTCCCATGTGGACAATTCAAGCTCACAAACTGTTTCACGGCTAAAGATTTCATAGCTAGGTGAAAGATCTTATATTTTAGTGAAATGGCAAATAACTAAATAAACATAAAACTTAAAACTGTTACCAAAATTAAAAAAGAAAAATCTTAAATTCCTAAAAGTAGTTAAAAATTAGGATAGAAAGCTTGATGTTTCCAAAGATATGACAAACCACCAAATCTCCAATAATAATACTTCTCAAATGAACCACTCAGCAAGCTACAACATAAACTGAATCTGCATACCGCATCTGACATGTCATAATGAAGCTTTGTAACTGAGTCTCCACGTCCAAGCTCTTCAACAAATCCATAAGCTATAAATGTTTTAGGACCAAGGTCAGGCTTCAAACTGTTTGCAGGCAACTTTGCTGCAACATTGAGGATGCCAGAGAAAGGATTTGTGTATTCCAAAAATGGCAAGGCACTGACAAATTCTGCACAATGGCGTGGTAAGAGCTCCTCAAAGAGATCAGATGGGGGCCAATCTTTTAGCTTCAGCAACTGAGGCCAACTGTTACTATGTGCACAACCCTTTAAATACCCTAGGAAAAATTTATGAATATTTAGTTCAACCTGCATTTTAAGAATGTATTAGCATCAATATTACCCTGAAAATAAAACTAAAAGGACAAAAACGTAATGATCATTAAAACAAATAGTAACTCAAAAGAACTTACTTCACACAAGTCAAGACAATCAATTGCTCTCACATTAACATTTGAGGAATCTTTCTTATTTGATACATCACGGAATGCACGCCACATTACCATTGGCTCCCAGCTTAAGCCAGAGGTTGATTCAAGAACATTTCTAACAAGCACTGGCTCTCCCTTAATCCAATGCCAACGAAAATGCTCTAGATTCCCCTGTTTTATGTCCTTTGCTGAAGGAGAATACAAGTAGTTTTTACTACAGTATTCCTGAGATTCTGATAACCGCATTGCCTCATTCACAACACCAATCTCATTATCAAGTTTGAGACAAGAACAATGTCCTGTCAAGGTTCCAAGTGCTTCCTCAAGTTTATGGAATTTAACTAATCTTTTAGCTTTGATATTCAACATTGAAACCCAATCGGATGGCAACATGCATTTCAACTCTAAGCGCTCATGTCCACAACCACCCAATCTTTCTACTGGACAGGGGATGTCATCATTTCCGTTTACTTGCCACTTAGATAGTAGCCCAATACGTTTCCTAGAGCTTGTCTTGTTCTTTTTCTTATCTAACAATAAAGGTAGATGTTCTCCTCCATGCAAGTAAGCTTCTCCTCTGTTAACATATCTTTGTACCATTTTATCTCCACCTCTCAAGCATTTACCCCGAATTTCCGAGCAACAAGTAAGGCAAAGCTCATATGAACATTTTGGGCAAACTCTATGGAGATCAACTATCGAAGTTTTGCAATTATTGCTGCCATAAAACAGGTAATACAAGCTAATTTTGACAGATACACAAAAAAACTAATTTGAAAATGAATTTCTAACTATATTAAGAATAGAACCCACCAATATAAGCGTTCATAATCATCAGAAACAGCCTGAAGCACCTCTATCTCTGATGACCGTAATCCTGCCCCAACATTCATCACTTAACAAACAATCAAGAAAGGAAAGAAGTTTTGCTTATATGCAAAGGGGAATGCATGCATTTTTTTAAACACTTATCTGTCTAGTCCATCTTTATTTCTTATATGACAGTCATATTACGAGTTATCCAGAATTATATAAACATGTAAACTTTCCGATATGTATGCCTCAATCTGAATGATGATTCCAAGCATGAAAACCTTGACAATAGAAAGTGAAAATCAACTACTTCACTAACACATTCTTTGCATAACTACATGGGCAGGTAATGATGAAAATCCACTGTTATACAGTTCATACCTTGGATCATGGCTTCGAGCTCTATTTCCTTCATTTGCTCCTCATTAAATTGTTTCAGGAAAGGGTACAACAATGAGATAAGATACTTCAAGTGTTTAATTCTTTCATCTTTATCCAATGGCATTCCAGAGTTTTTGACATCCTATAGAATGAGTAAGAAGAACCCACCATTAGTCATTTCAAAAAAAAAACACACACACACAAGAAATAATAAAATGTAGTAAGAAGAAAAATAATACAACAATGCTGTGAATACTAACCTTCATTAGTTCATTAGAACGCAAACATGGTTTGCAATTACAAGTTTTACGACAAAATGGGCATGACTCTGCTATTGCTTCCTCTGAAGATTGTGGATACCTATATTCAAAAGTTGAAGGCATAGAATCATTACTTGATTAGTGACAATGAACACTCAATTAAAATTTCTTTTACAAAAAGCTTTTGTATGTGAAATACAAATGAAGTGAGTACCATGTTTTGATGCATGAATAACAGAAGTGTTTACGTCGACACTTTAGGCAGCGTAGCACTCTGATTTTGAACCTATGGCACTGATGGCAATAACCTCCATTCTTTTGGTAACCCTTGCCCTTGTCAAATAAAACCAAAGCAATGCCCTCAATTGGATATGATAGTTAATAAGGTGAATCCTTTAACGTCAAAGCCAAACAAGTAAACTCACAATGGGGATATCTTCAGCTAAGACATTGCCAGTCCTCGTCTTCCCTAAAAAGGACTCATTTTGGCCACCGTTTCCATCTTCCTTTCCCTGTTAACATTAAAAAAACAAACATTTAGAAAAATAATAATAATAATAATAATAATAATAATAATAACAACAACAGAACACGTAAACCCACATTGGGTTTGGGGCCATTCTCTTGTTTCTCCTGTGAGAACTTGGCACTCCTCCTAGTCCTTCGTGACCAAGGCTCAACTTCTTCATCATTTCCATGTTGGCCTCCCTTCCTCTTGTCCTTCTTCTGTGGATTCGTTGTTCCAGGGCTTTGCTTCCTAAGGTTATTCTGACGGTGTTTTAAGCGGAGAAAATGCAATTCACAATACTTTTGATGGTGGACCCTCCAGCGGTTACAGCGCCACCTACTTCCGTTTCTTGCGCACCGTAGCTGTTCCGGAGGTGCTATAAACGGTACCATTTCATCGTTCCAGAACGACTCTTCTCCCACTAACTCTCCTTCTTTCATGCTTTTCTTCTCTTCCACTCTTCACACACGAAACGAAAGACGAGATCACTGTCTCTTTGGCTGCCTCTTCAGTCTTTACCTTAGTTGCTATAAATGCAACGCATGGGCAGGCTTTTATTTTTTCCGTCTTTGGAATATGGAGGAAAGACGAGATGTGATGTGATACGCTGACATAGCGTGGAAGGTAAGAAAAAGAAAGTAAAACCAGTTTTCCTTTTCTTCTTTTTCAATCAAATTACTTGAAAATATTAATATTTCCCTCAAAACTAAAGATTTAATTTTAAATTTACCTCTAACAAATGTTTTTCCCACGTTTAAATTTAAGTATTAAAAAATAACTAACGAAGAAAGAATTTTGGATCAATTTACATATTATTAAAATTAATATTTAAAAATTATGAGTTCAAAATAATTTATATGTTTAATATTATCTCCGATCAAAATAAATATTAAAAAAAAGGTTTAATAACAGATTAAAAAAATAATAAGGAAGGAATTATATAAAATGCAAATTGACTTTTTATTTTGTTAAATAATAAATATTAGTCTTAAATTAAGCATTATTCTAAAATAAAAAAAAAACTTTTAAGTATATTTTTAAATTAAATGTACTTAAAATTTATTTTATTTCTTAAACCAAAAGTTTGTTTTAAAATTTATTTATTTCAAAGATTATTTACCAGCAAACTTTTTTGGGCAATTTTAGGTGAGAGCATGAATAAGTTTTTTTTTTTATTTTTTTTTTACTTTAATTTATTATAAAGTATAAACATGGAACTATTTATTGTATTATTATTTTGAAATTCCAAAATCAGTTTACTTCTATGAAAAATGTTCTCACTTGTCACCAAACGAGGAGGCACACAATTGAGTGAAATTCTTTTAAAAAAAAAAAAAGGAAATTGTCATTTCTCACCTGGTAGCCAATTAAAAGCAAGAGGTTAATTAGATAGAAATAAAAGAAGTTGAAGCTAATATGGTTGATGTCGTGGAAAGAAGAAGAAGAAGAAGGAAGAAGAAGAAGAAGAAGAAGAAGATGTTGCCATTGAAAAATCAGGGAATGAGGTATTATTATAATCATATGTTAGCATGGAATTTGAATCATCAAATATTGTTCAAAAATGTTATAATAAGTATGCAAGATTCACAAGTTTTGGTACGTATAAAATTAAATTACATTTATAGATCAAAAATTTACTTATTCATGGGAAGGTGTATGGGCAAAATGTACTTGAAGAAAGAAGACAAAGCTTATGCAGCATCATATGAAACAAGAGAAAATTGTAAGGCAATGCTTCTATTATCCAATATAGGAGAGAGAAAATGGACTGTTTCTCAATTTAGTGCAAATATACTTATATGTCAGTTCTGTCGAAGAGCACATTATTTGTTCATACACATAGAGAGTATCAACAAAAATTCAAAGAGATTTTATGGATGTTTTTAATGAATCTGGTATTCATTCACGTAAGATAGTTTTTGTTTAATTCATGAATCTAGTGGGATTGGTAATTTTAATATAATTGAGTTTGATATTTTTAATTCTTAAGTTAGAAGACAAAAGCAATAAAAGAAATTAGATTTTCAAATAATGTTGATTATTTTCATGATTGCCAATAAAAAAAATCCGTGTTTACGATTCAAATTGATATTGATGATTGCTTTACAAATTATTTTGGATAGATGCAAGACCTTGAATGGCTTATAATCATTTTAGAGATGCGGTGGCCTTTGATCATACTTATTTAATAAATTATTATAGAGTGGCTTTTGCTCATTTTGTTAAAGAAAAATTTATTTGGTTATTGAAAACTTGTCTTAAAGCTATGTATGATGTTCACCAGCAACAATCATTATAAATTAGCATGTTGCAATTACAAATGCAATAGTAAAAGTTCTAACCTAATACCAATCATCATTTTTTACGTGGCATATTGAGAAAAAATATTAATATCTCATTTTATTCAAAAATTTTTTCAAGATTAAATGAATTTTGAATTTCCAAGATCAAATTTTTTTTTATTTTGTTTAAATTTCAAATTTAAAAATTGAATTTGATTATAGAATTACCTGAGCTCCAATTCACTTTTAAAAAGAAAAGGATTGAAAAGTGTTAAAAAGCTTGATCTTGTTAGATTCAATTCATTGAATTTTTTTCAAATTAAAAGGATTATCCCTATAAATTATATATAAGGCGATTCCAAGTACTAGAGGTGAGAAAAAAATCAAGAAAACTGAAAACCGAATTGAAATTTGTAGTATCCAATTTGATTCAGAGTAAATTTTTTACTCGATTTTAATTAAATTTGAATATTAAATATATATATTAGGTTCAAAATAGAAAGTGAAAAACAAAAAAAAAAAGCTAAAATAAACTGAATTAAATATTTTTATTATCTTTTATATATTTTTTAAATTTTTATAAAATAAAAATAATTATTTTATAACTAAAATATTTAAATATATTAAAAATAATATATAAAAATAAAAAATAAATTTTAAAAATTAATAAATCAAACCGAACCAAAAAAATTTAGTTCAAATCAGATCAAATTGTATGAAAGGTCGATTCAAATTTATATCAGATTTTAAAAATGCATATTATCGTACATTATCTAAAAAACTGAATAGAATCCGATTCGATTCGAATCGTTATTACCCCTACTAAGTACAAATCATCAACAAGCAATTTACACAACCAATATAATAGCTTACAAAGTGCAATTAGAGCAATTTTTAGTATTCAGATTTTATTTTTTTAGTTTGTGAATTTTCGGAACAAGTTTTTTTTTGGTTAAATTCATTTTTTAAGTTTGTTTGGGGGGATGTTTGAGATTATAGTAGAAAAGGGTTTGATTAGGAAGTGTTTTGAAATTTTTTTTATTTTTATTTTTATTTTTTTACTTTTGGGAATTTTTAGATTTGTTTAGGTTTTGGATTGAATTTTTGAATGATCTTTTGAATTTTTCGATGAGATTGATGGTTGTTGGAGGGGTTTTGTGATAGTCATTTTTGGGTTTTAAAAGATTTTTGAAAAATTAATAAAAAGAAGATCATAAATTTTAAAATTAATAAAAAGAAATTTAATTTTATTATTTTAATCTTAGAGAAAAATAAAATCTTATGAGACTCCAATTAAAATAAAGATAAAATAGTAAATTCAATTTTCTTTTTATATATTTAAAATTCATCATTCTTTTAATAAGTATTTTTCTTGTTATAGATTATTAAAATTTTATAATAACCCTAACTAAAATGAACTCCTTGGAAAAGGCTCTTCATCTACTTATCACGATAAATTTCTCTAGTTACTATATTAAATTTTAATAAAATTATATAATATTCAATAGTATTACTTATATAACTTCTAAGAGTTTCAACTATGTTGATCAAACCTACTAGTTTCTTCATCATTCTTTGTAATATCAAGAGGTAATATATTTAAGTATGGCTTTATAAGACTTTATCATTTCTCTAAAGTCAAAATAATAAAATTTACTTATTTTTATTAATTTTAAAATTTATGATTTCTTTGTGATAATAACTTTTTTCATTATATCAATTAATAAAAAAATTCTAATAAAATCCCTTTTTATCATTTTTCTTAAAAAGTTTTAAAGCTTACTTTCTAAAAATTTATTTTCAAAAAATTAAATAATTTATTAGATATGGATAATTAAGTAATTTTACTCATAAAAAATTATAAAAAAAAAGTGAGATGCAAAGATCAAACACAGAGTGCAATTGAAGCTTCCATTCACAAATAACACTAATTTCGTATTCATCGGATATTGCTATTGATAATACATGAATAACATGTAATATTTATAAAATATTTATTTAATAATTTTCATAATATATTTATTTAGCACATGAATAATTAATTTATTTAAAATATTTTCATAATATATTTATTTATTTAACTTGCAAGTGGTTTAATTAACTTAATTTATATATTTATACATATTGTTAATTCAGTTGACTAAATATGCAAAATACTAAAATTTTTAGTACATAATTCTAAAATAGACTATGTTTGTTAATAAAAATACAACAGTTTTTATTAACAAATGTCATCTATTGATTTTGGATTGACATTATTTTATCAATTTATTATACAATTAATGATGATTTTATTCTAAAAAATATATTATTCAAAATTTTTTAAATAATAGATTTCATTTTTAGAAACAAAATAGAAATTAATCAAATTTAATCTTCATGAAAATATTTTAATTTTTTAAATAATAGATTTTAAATTTTCATGGCAAGTCTTTTTAAATTAAAATCTAATCTAAAACATGAAAATAAAATGTAACAATTTAAAATGCATAAAAAGAAAAACCAAGAATAGGTGAACATGAAAATTACTAATGCATGAAAAGCCTAAGGTGCAATTAAAACCTAAATATAAGGGAAATATACATGGAGATCAAATGCAAGACTAAACTAGAATGAACCTAAACTAGCAAGGACTGTACCTATACAAGAGCACAAAATCGAAATGACTCATAACTACATGATAAGAATAATTAAACTAATACTCAACACATTTTGTAAAATCAAATATGACCTAAAACTTAACGTAAGTAACATTAACCTGACATGGGATTGCAAGCATTTAGAACTTAAAATTGCAAAAATTAAAAACCAAAAACAATGAAACTAAACAGCCATATAACAACCTTAAAAATCAAATTTGCAACAAACAATTCCTTAAACTATTGTTTTGTACATGAACTTATTAACTACTTTTAAGCACTTAAATATAGCCATATAACATCAAATTAAAGTAAAATAACAACCAAATTAAACCTGACTATAGGCTCAATATATCGGCACTCATAAACTGAAAACAAAAACTGAATTGTGCAACCAATAAACATAAAGAAAAAAAATCATCCAAAATTAAAAATGATTGATTCAAATTCAATGAGCATTCTAGAAGATTTCTCTACCCAATATCTTACTTGGACATCATTATCAACCCCCAAATAGCCATGGAAACAACTCAAAATTGCATAAAATAAAATGTGGATAGATGGCAAAAAAAAATGTAGACATGAGGGAAATTTTCCATGGAAAACCAAGTTTAA